GTCCTTAAAAGCAATTGTGAGTGTTTGAAAGATGTATCAATGCAAAACCATAAATAGAGAAGAAAGTGGAATAACAGAGGAATTTCATTTTTGTTGTATGACCATATTATTTTGAGTGATATTTTATTCATACGTGTGTGAAATACATAAAATATTATATAATTATTTTATACAGTCATTAGCTACATTCATATTTATTGTCAGCAAAGCATATTTACACATTATTATTAGGTGTATAAGTTTCTTCAAAATCAGACATATATTATTTACTATGACATTATCAATCAAAATAAACAAACAATTACTTCAAGATATTATCCATCGAAACACGCAACCGTATTTACGTTAGTAAAAATGTATTATAAGGAAAATTTTACTAATTTAACACTCTTAAAATTCATTTTTAAAGACTCAGTTTGATTCTTAACTTATTAAGGATGTGTTTGAGAAAAAGTTACATAACTTGCTTTTAATCAAATGGGACAAAAGAGTTACTTATCCGTTTGGTGCATTGGAATGTGTAAAAGTCCATTGAATAAATTTCAAACGATAAACTAAACACACACTAAGTCTATCTCGTTAAACTCCTAGCTTGAGTATGGTCAATCCTTTGTAGACTTGCATTACATCAATTGAATTTCTCCATTCCTCTTAACTTTTCTATGAAATTTAACATTCATATGTTTGGTTCATCTATCTTGGATTAGATTTTTAATAATTGAAATACTAAATTATTGTCATATCATATAATAGTAAGTAGCATTTGCACATGATTCAAATTCATATAGAATTTCTTGATTCATATAACTTGATTAAGCAACTACATTATACTTCTATGAACATATATGTTCTAAATTTAGTCAAGTAAAAAGGGCTATGAACTAAATTTCTATATTGAGTCACATCTTTGATCTTGAAAAGCTTTTTCATTAATAACAAGTGGAGTTGAAACATGATTACAACTCATTGATTTGAATTTTTTTCATAAGTCATTGACATATTTTCTCTATGAGAGGAAAATTTCATCATTGAATTGATGATTTTTTTTTTATTATAGATGTGATTAATTAGATATACCAGAGATGACTCAAGGTTGATAAGTTGTCAGCCCTGGTCACAAAAGAACTTGAAAGATTCGATATGTAGTTGGTTATCGATATCAGAACTATTAAAAATGCGTAGTCGAAAATAATTTAGTCAAGGTCACACCCTTCGTCACAATCATTGTAAGTAATAATATTTGATCGTTATAAGAAAATAAAGACTCTTGAACACACTTAATAATCAAATCCTCAACGATAATATTTCTTTATCGGTAAAAATACTTGGATCAAATCTTCATAATGTATGAAACATGTACACAATACACTCAATCACTTCTACTAGCCAACCTCCATATCAGAGTCCCTTTTATATATACAAACCAGTTAAAAATTGAGGACCAAAAAGTGAAGGACCAAAGACTTCTATTGGAAGACCTATTGGATTCATTTTCCAACAAGAAAATTTAAGAACTTATTATGAGATACACATTTTCTTAACTTTTATTTAATTATATCTTAAAAGAAATACAAAATTGAAAGGATAAAATAAAATATTTAATACATATGATATTATTATTAGACGTGTGGTTCAATGCGAGTGATAAATCTTACCAATGTTATAATTTAAGAAATGTTTTAAAAACATTTCAATTAAAAAAATTCTTATAAAGACTCTTGTACTATATGAAATTTCATATTTATATAAATTAACTAACATATAATTTTAATTCTTTAGGATAAAAAGTTTAATTAAATATTATTATTGGTAGCCAGTTAAATAGGCTAATATTTTAAAGTTAATTAAAATATTTTGATGTGTAATTTTTATATATTATTTAATTCCAGATTTTTCTGTCATAAATTTACCCATTTTATAATAATTGGTATTTTAGCGTAGAAAATGTACATGCATATTTATATTATATAACTAAAACTTATAAAAATTGTATATATAAATACATATCATATTTACAATTATATTTAAATATATAAAACATATTATATTTAAAACTGATAATAAATATATATTTTAAATATATTAATTATATTTTAGAATTATGATAAATAATTTATATTATGATATAAAATTATATTAATTATTAAAAATTTATTTAAAACTATTGAAAGTTAATTTAGAAATAAATAACAAAATAAATTAATATAAGTGCTTAAAAATCACTCATTATTTTTTTTTCCTAAAATCAGTTTCACTAAAAATAAATCCTAAAATCACTCTTACAAAATAATTTTACTTTTTATATATACCAATAGAAAAAGACACACTTTATGCTTCTTCTAAAAAAATAAAATAAGTAATAATTATATTAACTTTTTTTTTTTGCATTAAAAATCAAAAGTAATTATTTTATAAGCCGTTACTTTATAAATTTTAGAATAAAATGATAAAGATATCTATATTAATATAAAAGAGATATTTTTTTCGGTAACTACTTGATCTTTACTTTTTTAAACTATTATATTCATTTATTTTAAAAAAATTTAAAAAAATATTTTTTAATTAAATTTAAAAACTTAAAATTAATAGATTAAT